ATACAGCATATCATTAAAAACGGAAAGATTCATTGCTTATGATGTGAAAACACGACCAGCGGTCACCCGATGTCCCGCATCGCCTAAATCTCTATTTCCTTGGAGATGGGAGTGAGGAGATGATTCAGTTTCTGTATCTGTTACAAATATAAAGACTTAGACTTCCTTTATTGTCACTGTACAAAAAAACACAAGGTGAATCTTGACAACGAAATGTCGTTGCATGACTACCAGTGTAACAGAGCTAAAACCTTATACTACACAATAAATAAATACAAGTACCATAGAATCCACAGGTTCAGTGTTGTAAACAACACTAAACTAAAGTGCATGTATTGACCATGTCCATGGGGGGGTGGTTTGGTTTGTGAGTGTGTGTGTGTGTGTGTGCGTGTGTGTGTGTGTGTGCGTGCGTGCGTGCGTGCGTGCGTGCGTGCGTGCGTGCGTGTGTGTGTGTGTGAAGGGGTGTTATGTGGCGTTAAGCAGTCTGGTTGTCCGGGGGAAGAAACTGTTCAGTAGTCTGGTTGTTCTGCACAAGATGCTGCGGAACCTTCTGCCAGACGCCAGGGGGGAAAACAGTCCATGGTTGGGGTGTGTGGGGTCGGAGAGGATCTGGTGAGCGCGGGATAGGCAGCGCCTCTCTGCAATGTCCTTGATGCAGGGGAGCAGAGCCCCTGTGATCTTCTCCCCTGTCCTCACCACCCTCTGTAGAGACTTCCAGTCAGAGGCCCTGCAGCTCCCAGACCAGATGGAGATGTAGCTGGTCAGTTGGCTCTCGATGGTCCCCCTGTAGAAGGTCTGAAGGATGGGGGGCGGGAGGGATGCTCTCTTCATCAGACGCAGGAAGTGCATGTGCTGCTGGCCCTTCTTCACCAGTAAGGAGATGTGGGGAGACCAGCTGAGGTTTTCGTTGATGTGCACCCCCAGGAACTTGGTGCTGCTGACGACCTCTACTGCTGAGTCGTTGATGAGGAGTGGTGTGTGGGTGGGTCTGGATTTCCTGAAGTCTACAATGATCTCCTTGGTCTTGTTGAGATTAAGGATCAGGTTGTTTCCTCTGCACCAGTCCACCAGATGCACCAGTCCACCAGATGCCGCACCTCCTCCCTATAGGCCGTCTCGTTGTTGTCCGGATGAGGCCCACCACTGTGGTGTCCGCGTACTTCAGGATGTGGTTGGAACTGAAGTGTGGACGGCAGTCGTGGGTCATCAGGGTGAACAGCAGGGGGCTCAGGACACAGCCCTAAGGGGTGCCGGTGTTCAGGGTGATGACATTGGAGGTGTTGTTCTCCATTCTGACAGCCTGGGTTCTGTCAGTGAGGAAGTCCAGCAGCCAGTTGCAGAGGGGGGTGTTAATTCCTAAGGGGCCCGTTTGCCCTCCAGGTCTTGGGGGATGATGGTGTTGAACGCTGAGCTGAAGTCCAGGAACAGCATCCGCACGTGGGTGTTCTTCTCCTCCAGATGCTCCAGGCTCAGGTGGAGAGCAGTGGAGACTGCATCCTCAGCACTGCGCTTGGACTGGTATGCAAACTGGAAAAGGTCATGATGGGGGGAGCGTGGAGATGATGTGGTCTTTAACAAGTCTTTCGAAGCTTCATGATGGTGGATGTGAGTGCGACCACCATCATGAAGAGATGGTGGTCACTTCACCATCACTTCACCATGACCATGACTTTCACATAAAGTCAAGGCCTTTATGTGAAAGTATGAGAGTGTAATGTGTATAGAAGCATATGTGTGAACTTGACCTTGGTAAGCGTCTCAACAGCACCTCAGTGAAATGTTGAAAAACAGAGAGGAGGTTCTCACTAAAACCAGGAACATAGTGACAAAACACCAGTTTTAAAGTCCCTCCACTGGCTTCCTGTAGCTCAAAGAACAGATTTTAAAATACTGTTGTTAGTTTACAAATCACTGAATGGTTTAGCACCACAATACAGCAAAGAACTGCTGTTGTTCTATCAACCTTCCTGACCTCTCAGGTCTTCTGGTTGTGTGTTTTTTCAACAGCAAAAAACACAGAAACATTTCCCCTACAGAGAACAAACCATTCAGCCCATTAAAGTATTATGTTTTCAAGTCTGATGTTTATTTTTCAGTCATTAATAAGAGATCATCTAAACACAGCTGTGGTTGATTAACTCATTTAATCACCTGCTCTACTGATGATCTGTCAGAGTTGGTGTGTGGTCGACTTATTTTAGTCTTTAACTGAACCAAAACACACTGAATTCTGCAGCACATCGACCTGTAAAAAAGTTCAAAGTCAAGCTAGCATAACTGACCTACAACCTTCTAGCCATTATTTTTTGACTAACTGACCTGTGAAATGTGACGCAAAGCACCGCGTCACATTTTCTTTTACATATCAGACGTAAATCTAAGATTCTGCCTGTTTTGTTGACATCTTGACAGCTAAAACCAGTTGGAGTCATCGTTGGTGAGCAGGGATTTTGCACGCGGCGTCACATGGCAACGTGTCTATAATCCCACAAACTCAAATAATGCTCTTAAAAAACATACCCATTTATAATGTGTAAAGAAGTGTGACTTGTATCACTAAATTGTACACTGCTAGATCTGACCTGCAGGGGGCAGTATTCTCACTTCTACCACACTAACCTTATTCAATGTCAAGTTGTAGTCTGTGAGTAACTAAAAAAAGGTACTGCTAAACAAATTCTTTAAAAAAATAAAACTGTTTTTTTGTGTCCTTTATATGCAGATTCTGGAAGGGATATATGAGGAAAAATAATAAAAACAATCAAAGATTTCAGAGGGACTAACATTAGTTTTGGTGAAAATAGCCATCACTTATGTGGGCCCCAACTGACAGCTGATAACCAATAGTTACGCTATTGAGAGCTAATAATAATCTTTTTATTGGGACTTCCTGTTCAGGAACTAACACAAGGTGACACTTTCACACCGGTACCTCAACATGCGAAATGGAAAAAGAGGGAAATATGGACAAACACCAGGCCTGCAACAAAGCAGAAACTTTCATTCATGTATCAAAAGCTTTCAAACCTTTATTTCTGAGTAGATTAATAAGCAAACCGCTGAAAGAAGTGTGGACGTGTCCAGCTGTCAGAGGAGCTCAGAGCTGTGAACATGGGGGTCTTTCCTCCCACACAGGACCTGACATGAGGTCACCGCAGTGTGTTTGCAAACCGTAATTAATTCAAGACAACACAGCTTCTAAAGACGGAACAATGAAAGTTGTTCCGTCTCATCAGACAACTTTTATTCTCATGAAAACCTTGCTCAGGTTTTCATGAGAATATTGACAGGAGGGGTAATTAAAAGTGTTTTTTCTCATCCCCTCCAAAGCAGCAGAAAACAATGAAGCCAATTACAAGAGTGTGTGTGTGTGTGTGGGGGGGGGGGGGGTGTGGATGGAACGTCTTTTGACTCTACCTTTGGAAGCTCAGTGAAGGGCGAGGACGGTTGGAGAGTGAACGGAACAAACAAGGCAGTAGGATTTGAATTTTTGGCGGATCGCATAAGCTGTACATTGACTGTAGCTACATGGCTTCTACATCAGGAGGAAATAGTGGGAATGAAATGGATTGGATGATTTCGAGATCATCACGAATGAAAAGAACAATTAAGAAAAGACAACACTGAAAAAAATAAGTCATTGGATGAACATAAAAAAATTATGGAAAGGATTTCCACCTGATTACTTTGCTTCATTTCAGCACCATGTACTTGTGTTACTCTTATTTAAAGCAAATGTGTTAGGTCAACCTAATTTATTAAGATTATTCCAATGTAAAGCAAATGTGTTGGCTCAACTTGTTACAATGGTGATTCAATGGGTGATTCTAAATCAAAACATGTTGGCTCAACGTAATATATTGTGGTTATTCTTATATAATTAAATGAGTTGGCAAAACATAATTCATTAAGGTTGTTCTAATTTAAACCAAATATGTTGGCTTAACCAGAATTATGGTAATGCAACGGATGATTGTAAATCAAATGAGTTGGCTCAACTCCATTCATTAAGGTTATTCAAATTCAAATGAAATGTGTTGGCTCAACATATTTTTTAAAGGTTCCTTTAACTCAGTTACTATAGTGTGACCCAGTGTAATGCAATACAGCCAGCCCAACTAATCTGCAATGTTTAGGACCAAATCATTGATGTTACTTCATTAAGATGAATGTAAATCTAGTTGAAACCACCTTATTTTACAGTGGTACCTTCACACTACCTGATTCAGTAGGTCCAACTCACTAAAAGTAAGTTAGCTCAACAAATATGCTTCATGCTAAAAGACAGCTAGTTAATCGTGTGGAAATCCTTTCCATTATTTCATGATGTTAGTTCAAAGACATTTTTTCAAGCGTTAATCAAGCATTTTAAGATAGCACTAGGTGAAAGTGTAGGAAGAACACTCAACAATTAGAAAAGGTACAACACAATTGTATTTGCAGAATTGTTATACATCGTCTTTTTACACAGCACAAAACACAGCTGAGTTGGACATTGAAATAAAAAAAACAACTACAAAAAGGTTACAGTTTCATTTCCCAGCCAATTCTTTACAACATAAAACATGTCAGTATTTGCTCAACTTAGAGAACTGTAACAATATAAATCTTTTCTACTGCAGACTTTAAACACTCATTTTCCATATGAAACTTTACTCAACTTAGCGGCGAGTTTCATATTGAGAACTTGTGCTTTCTTTGATAAGTTCTTTCCATCCAATTTCATTATTATTTTCTGTATTACTTCAAAGGTATGCTTGAGTTACTGAGCAAGTTGAGTGCTGAACGCACTAAACTTGAGGGTAGCTCAAGTTTAGCTTTGTACACTACATATGGCTCTGCAGACTTTTTTCGCACAGAATGTACCTAACATGGTGCGGCGATAAATGTAAACTTGAGGGTAGCTCAAGTTTAGTGCGTAGATTAGTCCAGCAGCATCACTATTGCAGAAGATACACTGCCCAAGCTGTTCATAACTTCCACCTCTCCAAGACAATCCCAACATCCAGATGTGCATCGGCAGCCTCTGCACCCTCTGCTCAAATGACGATTCCGAGGACAGTCTCGGCTTTGGCCATTTCATTCATCAACGTCCTAAGGGAGTTAGGGAAGGGTATTGGGGGGGAGACAATTCACATGTAATTAAATAAAAATTAGACTGACATTGATTGAGTCACTCATGGACCTTAGTTGGTGAAAGTATTTTAACAACTCTTAGGAGTTCTATTGTAAACACAAAGAGAATTTAACATACCATGTACTCCCTCACCAGCTTCTCTGGATCTTCATTTAGGTACACACAGACATTTGAGGATGCACTCATCTGCCCTCAGCAGTGTCTTCCTAAATATGCAGATCAAAAAACAATGAGAACAATCTCAAAACTCCAGCAGTATAGGTTCACACACTTGAAAGCATAGCTGCATTCAAAGGAAGTCACAACAAAAGTGATCAGTGGCTTGCAGTCTGTTTGAAAGATATTTAAAATTGTTAGTATCCCTTCATTATGCCATGACTAAAATGGAGTTTAACATCTTATTTAAACATCTAACTGAAGCTGTTAGAGGTTTAAATAAAGACATGAATATATCACCAAAGAAATATGTGAAAAGTACAGAATGGTCAACACAGTCTATATCCTTCTACTTAAATGAATATGCAAAGCATTCCATGTCTTACAAGTACATGGACAGTCTATGTGTGGGCATGGATAACGTCGCATATGCCGGTGTTTAAGTGTAAAATGTTTTAACAGGTCATATCTACGAGACAGAGAGAGACTACACTCCTTACATTTCCACATCCCCACGCAAATAAAGACAAATAAAACAGACTGGCCAAATAAATGTTTAGCTGAACTCTAGCTCTATAAGCTCTCTAACACTACATTCAGTCACTTTAGATCTGGCAAAACTTACTATTAGCCACTGAAATCTATAACTTGATAGCCGATGAGCCCCTTGACCAGTACTTACGCAGGTGGATTACAGACAGGTGATCAGGTGATGTTCTGAAAGAGATCAGATATATTTTCAGCCATTAAAATATGCAATTCATACTGAACTGAGTTGTATCTTTTAGTACAAGTCCCTTGAATGCCTCATGAATATAACCACTGGACACATGCAAGCACATATGTGCAGAACAATGGTGAATTGAACATGGTAGAAAGCAATAGTAACATAGGTCAAAATGAGCACAAACAATCAACACAAAAAAACATCAACATTTCAAAATTAAACCAATGAACTTCAATATTGTTTCTGAGCTACAATTATTTGGGGACAACAAAGAAGAGTCCAAAAAACCCCAACATCTTTACAGCAGAGGAATATGTATTTTAAAGAAAAAAAATAGAAAGCTCAAGTCTGTAATAATGGATAATCCATTGAGAGTTTTAGCCTGACAAAATATACTAGAAATCCATAACTAACAGGTATTTTAGGAACATTTAACAAAGCTCAGAAAGCAATGCTTTCTGCAGGTTTCACCGACTGGAATGTAGGACTTTTTATTACCATAATTAATTAAGAATCTCGATGATGATAGAAAGGTACCAAAGTGTGTATCTACATTTACCTCCATAGTAACATTACTGAAAATAGAATTAAAATAGTTAGAAATAGACTGATGCCAGATCCGTGTGTTAAAAATCCACTAAACCTCCAGGGAGCTCAGGAGGAGCAAAACTGTGACATTTCTGGGGTCCATTTGTGTCTCTGGCAGCAGCTTTGTACACTACATATGGCTCTGCAGACTTTTTTCGCACAGAATGTACCTAACATGGTGCGGCGATAAATGTAAACAAAAAGCTATCTGCCTTAACCTAACCGACTTAATCTACAAAACATAAAATAATGTGACACAAGTATGGAACAATTAGAAAATGGTGCAAATGGTAGAGAAATTTTAAGTTACATATTTTTATATGGATTTGGATGAAAATAGTTTGACTCTTACCTTCTTCAAATTAAGTGGATGCACGCCAGGAATCTCCCCTCTGCCCTTGAAAAAACCCAACAAGGTGCAAGCCAGTTATCTCGCGTGATTTTCCGTAATCTCTTGATGTCGCTGGATCCTCTTCAGCGAGAGATGAGTCTGACACAATAGCGCTTTGGAACTGACGTCACTGTGTTTTTTTTTAATTAGATTAACTTTGACAAATATTGATATTGAATAAAATTATATATATATATATATATATATATATATATATATATATATATATATATATATATATATATATATATATATATATATATATATATATATATATATATATATATATATATATATATATATATATATATATATATATATATAATTTTATTCAATATCAATATTTGGAATACAAATCAAGTGCAGAATGGGCAGAGACAATTCTTGGATCCAAATGCAAATATCCAAAATGCATGCTGGCATAAATGTAGAGTGGATGATGATACAAAGGTGGTGAAAAAAGAAAACTTTGTAGCATTTATATGCCATATTGTTAATGTAACAGTGCAAATGAAGAAGAAAAGTATTAAAATAAAGGCAATAGTAACAGCAGCTGGAAGATTTTTAGACATGAAAGAAATACAAGCAGATTAAATACATACCATTCTGAGTGCCACTGAAACTACAGAAAATACTCAGGATTAGGATCCTAGTGTTCTTTTTAATGGTTTTACATATCCTTCAATGGGATGCTCGAAGCTTAATAGCCAATGGACAAGAATTTAAAAAGTATATTTATGAATTAGAAATAATCCCTGATATTATATGTATTCAAGAAACATGGTTAAAACCAAACTTAGATTTTAAGATTCCTGGATATAGCATGGAAAGACAGGATAGAAGTGATGGTAATGGAGGAGGATGTGCTAAAGATGGAATAGCTTATAAGAAAATCCCAACGGGTAATGAATTAGAATGTGTTATTATAGAAATGTTTAATGTAAGGAAATATGGAAATATCAAAATTATAAACTATTATAATCCATGTAAAAATCTTGACTGTAAAATGTTTAAGGAAATGGCTGGGAAATGACATAGAAGAGAATTATGGTGCTGTGATTTTAATGCCCATAATAGCCTTTGGGGTAGCAAGAAGACAGACCAAAATGGCAACATAATTGAAGAAAAAATGGTCATTAGTTTGTCTTAACAATGGAAAAGGTACCAGAGTAAATATGCATAAAAATACAACCTCATGTCTAGATATTACATTAGTATCTGACTATCTTGTAGGTTCATGTGAATGGGACGTCAACAGGGAATCTACAAAAGGGAGTGATCACTTTCCAGTGAGTACTATAATTAATGATAATATAAAGAAGCAAGAAGATTTCAATCTGGAGAGACTCGCACGGAGAAGAGAATAGCAGTTAGAGATTTAATGATACAGAATCTTTGGCGCTCGGCCCCGGCTGAAGAGTGTGAGTCGCGGATCACCGCGGGCAGGACATCAGCTCGGCCGAGCTCGGACAGTCTTCCGCGGGGCCGAAAACCGGTGGTGGAGCTGGGTGCAGAAGGATCCTGGAAACATCCATCAGAACGGAGGTGGAGAAGAGGGGAGGAGGTGGGTTGTACGCAGCGACGAGCGGGTCGACCCTCTGATAACTTGGCTTTTGAAGACGGTCCTGGATGATGATAGGCCCAAAGCGGAGAGTTGCTCCAGCCCTGATTGGTTGAGGTAGGACGTGGCGATTGCGAGATGAATGTCAGCTGGATCGAGTCTCCCAGGTTGAATTTTCGCCTAAGCTCCATGTCATAAGCATAAGATGGTGTTTTAATAAAGCTGATTGGTAAAAATTTCAAGTAAATTGTGAGGAAAGAAGACATTTGGTTACATTAAAAGGCAATATAGAAGAGTGTACAAGCCAGATAACAAAACATATTTTAAATGCTGCAAATTCAAGTATACCAATAATAATAATAAAGAAGAAGAAAAAAGTAGTTCCTTGGTGGAATGATGAATGTACCAGAGCGGTTAAAGATCGTAACAGGACATTTAAAATACTACAGAAAAAATAAACTGTCGAAACACATTGATTATAAAAAGAAAAGAGCAGTGGCTCGAAGAACTATTAAGGAAGTCAAAAAGAAAACGTGGAGAGAATATTGTTCATCAATAGGATCTGAAATTAAATTGCAAAATGTTTGGTTAATGTTTAGGAAAATGATTGGGAAAAGGAGTGATGTTAAAATACCAGGCTTAGCCAGAGATCAGGAAATAGTGTTTAATAAAGATAAGGCAGATTTGTTGGGTGAGTCATTTGCGGCAGTACATAGTGGAGAACATCTTTCAGACATACATAGACAACAGAAGATTCAAAAAATTAGTAAGCATAAAAATGTATTGGAAAAAAGTCAAACATATAACATATGTCCTGAGTGCCGAGGTGAACCTGTTGATTCATTTCATTTGTAAATTTAAGAACCTCTGGTCTGGAAGACATTGAATCCTGTGAATGATTGGAGGAGCAGAGAGGGAGGGGGAAAGAGGGAGGGAAGCAGTCGCTCCGTCTCCAGTCGATTTATCAGCTTGTTTTGGAATATCGTGCTCCTGATCCGGGGAGCGATCCATCCTAGTCAGACATCCTTGAGCCTGTTCTTCTGAAGCGGTGATCCCGTTGCTGTGCATGTTGATAAAATAAAAAAGGTTTGCAGAGAGTAGCTTTATCCCATGTTTATTAAGATTGCGTCCTCCTCTTCCGAAAAGGTGAAAGCGCTGCCAATAGATCCAGAGGTTATCGATGAAGGTCACTGAGCTGGTAGAGCAGGTTTTAATCAGCCATTTGTTGATCGTGAGCAGCCTGGAGTGTTTTTCTTCTCCATTGAGGTGATGGAATTGGACCACTGAGAATAACTTCATTTTTAATTTTCCCATAGTGTTCAGAAGAATATTAAAGTCCTTTTTCAGAATCTCAGACTTTTGCTTTGCCAGATCATTGGCTCCAACATGCACAACTAAAGTCTCAATATCTGGCTGATCAGTGGTTAGAGAGAGCAGTTTGATGGTTAAATCAGACACAGTGTCACCAGGAAAATACATCACTCTTGTTTTCCTGGAATTGCAAACGTCACTGATTCTCTTTACTGCCTCATCTCCAATAACAAGCACTTTTTGTTTTCCTGGTGGTCACTTTGTCCTTTGGAGCTTTGGGGGATGGATGTGTTGGTCTTGCCTCACTGTTGATGTTTGAAGGCAAAGTTTCAGTCAGAGTATCAGGCTGGAGTGCAGAAAATCTGTTTTTCAGTGGGATTCCCACAGAGTCAGAATGTTTTGAGGCTCGTGCTGGTTGCTTTGTCCCGGGGAGTGGGGTCAGCGAGGTCAGTGGGGTCGGTGGAGGGGTTTTGGTTGCAGCTGCTTGTTTATCTTTCTTTGGCGGAGCAGATGTTGAAGTTGAAGGTGGGTTTTGGCTGAGAGCTGGCCATGCTGATTCCTCCAGCTGCGGGGTTCTCCCTGATAGCCGTCTCATCGGATCCGCAGTGCGAGACTCCCGTTTTGGCTTGGCACCCAGAGCGTTCCAGGGTGAGCTGCTCGGTGCAGGGCGCACCGTTGATTTGAGGAAGGGTCGTCTCGTTTCCACAGGTAGCGTTGATCTCAAAGTTCACCTCCAGCAGTTTGATCTTCATTTCTATAGACTGAAGTCGTTGTAAAATACTGCACATGTCCTTGGGGTCAGCCGGAGGCATTTTGCCCTGGTTTACCTTGGAGGTGAAGAAAATTAAGGTAAAAATAAAAGTAAGAAAATTCCCCAGTCCTTAGGTTTGGAGTAATCCACTTAAGATGTCAATAATGTAAATATAACTACAAAAATTGTCGCTTTAAAAATAATTTACAGGCAGAGTTATCAGTAAGGACGAGAGAGAGCAGGATAAGCTGTTCCTCTAACGGCTGTTTCAATTTTCTTGAAACAATAGCATCATGGTGGTAATAATTAGACATCATGTGACAGTAATAACCCCACAATCAGTGCTCTAAGTCAACTTAGGCTCATTCAGAGGAAACTTAGGCTCATTTAGCCTAAGTTACTATGGCTGTTAAAACTATTTTTTCAGTATCGCATACATGGTGATTATCTATATAGATGGTGGTACCATTTAAAAAGATCCAATTATTGTTCAGCAGTACAGTCTCAGTATTGAATGGATTCCTTATAATAACGCCTTCGTTCTGTTTAGTGAGGCACTGACTGCATGCAGTGAGAGATTTAAAGCCAAAGAGACAAAGGATTAGATTTTTTATCTTTTCAATGTCTATTATTGTTTTATAATGACAATAGAAACCACAATGCTTTGTAGGACATTTAAAAACATGAGATGTTTTAGAAGCAGACAACACAACACTGACAACCCCCCCACACACCTCAGCACAACCTCCACCCCACATCACCACAGACCAGGTCAGAGAACAGCTGAGGAAGCTCAAGCCCAGGAAAGCAGCAGGGCCGGACCAGGTGTATCCAAGGCTGCTGAAGACCTGCGCTGAACTGGGAGAGCCACTACAGCGGATCTTCAACCTCAGCCTGCAGCTAAGGGAAGTGCCCACCCTCTGGAAGACATCCTGCATCGTCCACGTGCCCAAGAAGAACAGGCCCAGCGAGCCGAATGACTTTCGGCCAGTGGCACTCACTTCACACCTGATGAAGACGTTGGAGCGGCTCTTCCTCGGCCTCCTCAGACCTCAGGTGGAACATGCTCAGGACCTCCTGCAATTCACACTGTAAAAAAGGAACCTCATGGGTTATCACATTAACAAAAGAATATCATGTACTGTTAACTAAATAATTCCATGTTTGAGCCATAAACATGATACAATCATGTTGCATAAACAAGATATTCCACAACTTCAACGTTTATAAAATTGAATCATGTTGAGAGAACATAATTCATTATAGTCAGACCGATCCTATGCTGAAGACCACGAGTGAGATCACGGGATATCACGCAAGATTACGGGAAATCACGGGATATCACGCGAGAATACGCGAGAAAATCGGTTTTCTCTCGCAAATGGAATAAAATGTATTCAAGGTGAGATAACGTGATTCAATTACGTCAGCTAGATCTTCCGCCAAAAAAAAAAGAACGTCGGGGCGTATTACATTAAGAAAAGAATATCATGTACC